GCACTCCCTGGTCTGCCTCGGATTTCTTACGTAAGTCGTGCAGCAGCACCGACTTGGGGAGGGTGACGGTGAGGCAGGGTTTTAGGGAGCCACGCCTACTGCTGGCGGCGCCAAGACGAGGGTTTTTTGCAAACCTACCCTTGCAGGTATGGGTTTTCCAGTGTAGAGATCCCTGAAATACACTCTCTGAAACTGTGTGTGCATTTTTCTGGGGAGCGAGTTTATAGCTTCATCCTATCCTCAAAGAGGCCCATGACCCCCCAAAGTTAAGAACCACATAGCCACGGGTTGAAGAGGGTCAGCAGTAGCCAGTGGCCGTTTTCTGCCTAGCCTCTGGTCCTGGGGGCATTGCACTAGAGGTTTGTAACTTCTTTACTTTGGCGTAGACTTCCCAAGTTTACTTCCGATACGTTTAGAAATTCAAAGCCCTAAATGTACGTGCCCTAAAGCACGGGTACTGTGTCATAGCTGGCCCGTGGTTCCTGCAGGAGTCTACCAGGAAGAGATTTTGCGACCTTCTTGGGATCACCGGTACTTAGGGGCTGAAGAGAGGTGGGAAGAAGCAGGTGCGGAGCTGAATCGGCTGCGGAACTGGGCTCGGCGTGGCCTCTGTTCCCTTCAGAGTTGTGAGGAACAGACATTGTGAACGGGAAGTGCCAGCCTGCTGGGGCTAAAGAGAAGATGGCTGTGCTTGTGGCAGAGGGGTCCCGCTGTGGAGGACCCGTAGAGGTGGGGTGAGGGTGGGGGTGCGTAACAAGAGCCCCCTTAGGTATCGGGGGCCTCCGCCTTCCAGAGGGAGGGGCTGCTGCGTGTATTAAAGCATCAACCTGCAGCTTTAAATTCTGTCCCGGTGGGTGGGTGACGGGAGTGGCAAGCCTTTGCTTCTTCTTCTTCTTCTTTTTTTTTTTTTTTGACAGACAGAGTGGACAGTGAGAGAGAGAGACAGAGAGAAAGGTCTTCCTTTTGCCGTTGGTTCACCCTCCAATGGCCGCTGCGGCCGGCGCACCGCACTGATCCAATGGCAGGAGCCAGGTACTTATCCTGGTCTCCCATGGGGTGCAGGGCCCAAGCACTTGGGCCATCCTCCACTGCACTCCCTGGCCACAGCAGAGAGCTGGCCTGGAAGAGGGGCAGCCGGGACAGAATCTGGTGCCCCGACTGGGACTAGAACCCGGTGTGCTGGCGCCGCTAGGCGGAGGATTAGCCTAGTGAGCCGCGGCGCCGGCCGCCTTTGCTTCTTTTTCTTCATGACAGATCCATTCTAACATCAATAAAAAAACAAAAGAAAACAAAAACATCCATCCTAGATGCTGTGGCTGGTCCTTGTTTTTTTTTTTTTTTAAGATTTATTTGAAAGGTGGAGTGATGGAGACACACACACACACACACACACACACACACACATCTTCCATCCACTGATTCTTTCTCCAAATGGCCACAATGGCCAGGGCTGGGCCAGTCTGAAGCTAGGAGCCAGGAGCCTCATCCAAGTCTCCCACTTGGGTGGCGGGGGCCCAAGTACTTGGGTCATTCTGCACGGCCTCCCCAGGCCATCAGCCGAGAGCTGGATTGGCAGCAGAGCACCCTGGACTCTAACTGTGCTCTGAATTGGGATGCTAGTGTCTCGGGGTACAGCTTCACCTGCTGCTCCACTGCACCAGCCCTGGTGTTTATTTCATTAAAGACTTGCTGTGATGTTAAGTTCAACTTCTCTTTTCATGTCCATTTTTATCAATTTAAAAAAATTATTTTTTTGAAAGGCAGAAAGATACTGATTGTTTTTTTTTAAAAAAGATTTATTTGAAAGGCAGTGAGAGAGAGAGAGAGAGATCGTCTATCCATTGGTCTATCTACTGGTTCACTCTCCAAATAGCCACAATGGCCAGGGCTGGGCCAGGCTAAAGCCAAGCGCCTAGGACTCCATCCTGGTCTCCCACAGGGTGACAGCTTTAGCAATTGGGCCAAGCACTTGGGCTGTCCTTTCTCTGCCTTCCCGGTCACATTAGCAGGGAGTTGGATTGGAAGAGGAACAGATGCTGGCATTGCTGGCAGTGACTTAACCCGCTGTGCCACAAAGCCGGCCCTGAAAGACTGATCCTCCATCTGCATCTGCTGGTTCCTTCCCGACAGCAGTTGGAGCTGGGCCAGGTCTGAGCCAGGAGCCCGGAACTCAATCCAGTTCTCCCACATGTATGACAGGGACCCAAGTACTTGAGCCATCACTTGCACTTCCTGGGATGTGCATTAACAGGAAGCTGGATTTGGAAGGAAAGAAACTGGGACTCTGACTCAGGCAGTTTGGCATGGGGTGCCGGTGTCATAAGCAGTGTCTTAACCACTATGCGAACCCCTGCCTGCCCTCACTTTCACCAGCTTTAAGGTAGCATTGCAGTGTGTTACTATGATCTCTGAGTTCCTTTTTTCAGATACCGCTGTTTAGAGAAGTTGGTACATATCTAATGAACTCCATCTCTTTTTAGATCCTTATGTCAAACTGCTGCTTGATGCGATGAAGCACTCTGGTTGGTAAGTAAAACTTTTTGAAGTGCTGCTTTATCTTCTGTCTGCTAAAAACAAACAAACAAAAAAAGCCCCAACCAGACTGCTTAAGACTTCTCACCTCAGGCCAGGAGCCTTTGCCGTGGTATCAATGGTGAGCAGCTGTTCTCTTCTCTTTGGCCGTCTCCTGCCCTGCCTCAGTGTCTGCCTCTGTCATTCTCCTTGGGTATTTAGTAAACACAAAACCCTGAGTCTTCCTTGTAAATAATTGCCAAACCTGGCCTTTGCGTCACACCACTGGAACCTGGCCTGGGAGAGTCTTCCAGATGTGAACTTGAAGGGAGAGCACTTCTTTTTTAATGTTTCTTCAAACATTTTTAAAAAATATGTATTACTGGGGCTGGTACTGTGGTGCGGCAGGTTAAGCTGCCATCTGCAGGGCCAGCATCCCATGTAGGTGTTGGTTCAAGTCCTGCCTGCCTTGCTCCCTGTTAATGCACCTGGGAAAGCAGTGGAGGACGGTCCAAGTGCTTGGGCCCCTGCACCCAAATGGGAGACCTGGAGGAAGCTCCTGACTCCTGGCTTCAGCCTGGCCTAGTCCCAGCTGTTACAGCTATTTAGGGAGTGAACCATGTTATGGAAGATCTTTCTCTGTGCCTCTCATGTCTCTTTCTCTCTCACTCTCACTCTGACTTTCAAATAAATAAATCAATTCTTAATGTATTTTATTATTTTATTTAATCTAGTCAGAAAGAGCAAGAGTAAGTGAGGAGAGCACGAGAGAGATCTCTCTTCCACTGATTTACTCTGCAAATGCCTGCAGCACCCAGGGCTGGGCCAGGCTGAGCCAGGAGCCAGGGACCCAATCCAGGGACCCAGGCACTGGAGCCGTCACCTCTGCCCATAGTGTGCACATCAGCTGGAAGCAGGAATGGAGAGCAGAGTCAGAACTTGAGCTCGGATAGGGGAGGTGGGCTCCCCGAGCAGCTGCTGCGCCCAGCACCCACCCTGGGCCGTCTCTTAATGTTCCGGTGCAAGTGTGGGAACTCCAGCGTATTCCCAGTGTGAGCTTCATCGGTTGACCAGTTGCTCTATGGAATCCTGGACAATTTGAACTAGGATAGATTTAGTAGAGACATGCTCGGTATTTTAGAGATGAGAAAACCTACTTCTGAAGGTGTTCGGTTGCCTTCCCGGGGTTGTGTGTGTGGGTGGTGGCGGTCCCTGACTGCTGGCCGCAGGCTGCTTCCCTCTCTTACACGCTGGTTCTGGACACTGTCTCTGTCATCTAATCTTGCTTCCAGCGCTGTTAACACAGACAGACACTTTTCTTGTGAAGACTGTCACGGACACGTCAGTGGGGGCTTCGATGCTTCAACATCTCAGGTAGGTGTTCCCAGAAATCCTCCTCTTCCCTTTGGTCCTCCTGCTGTTTGCCTGCCACGTGCTGGGCGTTTTGTAGGCTACCGTGGTGGACGCTGTGTTGAACTCAGAAAAGGTCCTTACTCGTCAGGCACCCACAGCCAGGCAGGGGAGATGAGTCACAGACAACAGTTGCAGACCTCGAGGCCGGCTGTTGTAGATGGGCTCTGATGCCTCCGTGGAACATGCTGTGAGGGATGGGAAGACGCCAGCAGCTTCAGCCGAGGGCAGGGCAGACAGGCTGCTGCCCACAGTGGGGGTGGCCTGAGCAGAAGTGTGTGGGCAAATCACCAGGCGTGTGTGGGGAAAGGCAGCGGCCTAGTGTGTCCGGAGGGCGGAAGTGCTCAGGGGATGTAACAGGCAGGTTTTGTCGCAGAACACCTGAGGGAAGCCGCTGAAGGAGAAAAGAGGTTTATTTTGGCTCGTGGTTTTGGAGATTGTCAGCTCCAGGTTGGACAGGCCCCACTGGTTCAGCCGTCTGGGGAGGCTGGGGTATGGCCGTGACGCAGCGTGAGGTTTCGGTGCAATCACAGGATGAGCCAGGAAGCAGAGAGGATGGCTGGGCGCGACCTGGGCTTACCTAACCACCCGTCCCGGGAGAACTGCCTCCGAGGGCGCTCCCGGTGCCGTGGAGACCTCTCTGAGCCCACCTCCCAGACACCGTTATCAGACTCAGTTTTTCAACTTTTAGTGACTTATGCTGTAAAGAGTTTTAAATCTCTGGAATGAGTTCAGGAGCGTTTAAATTGGATCAGGGAAAAGGGAAATAGGGTTGGAAAGAAAGGCAAGCAGTAGGGTGGGAGGCTTTGCATGCTAAGCAAAGGGGTTTCCCCTTTACGTGAGAAGTGATACTGCCCATGAAAACTTCTGACTGGCTGGCGCTGTGGCTCAGTAGGCTAATCCTCCACCTTGCGGCGCCGGCACACCAGGTTCTAGTCCCGGTCGGGGCGCCAGATTCTGTCCCAGTTGCCCCTCTTCCAGGCCAGCTCTCTGCTGTGGCCAGGGAGTGCAGTGGAGGATGGCCCAAGTGCTTGGGCCCTGCACCCCATGGGAGACCAGGAGAAGCACCTGGCTCTTGCCATTGGATCAGCGCGGTGCGCCGGCCGCAATGCGCCGGCCGCGGTGGCCATTGTAGGGTGAACCAACGGCAAAGGAAGACCTTTCTCTCTGTCTCTCTCTCACTGTCCACTCTGCCTGTCAATAAATAAATAAATAAATAAAAAAACCCTTCTGACTAGGGGAGTGAGTTTCCTCATCTGGAAAACATGGGCAGCCGTAGTGTCTTGTCTTATAGAATGGTCCTGAGGATTCAATGAGATCTGTCTTGTCAATTTGCTTCTTATATTGCCTGGCTTGTAGTGAGCATTCAGTGAGTTTTGTTATGTGCCTTAAGTCATTGGGAGATTGTGATAGAGCCCTGGACGTGACAGATGGATTATGGCACCTGATGAGCGTAGACGCAGGTGTCCCAACTTGAATCCGTAGCTGTTCCCTGCTGGAGACTTGTATGTGTTTTGGTTCTTCGTTATGGTTCTGCAGTAGTAATGGGAGAAGGCACAAGCGTGAGAAGCCTGGGTTTTGGAATCAGATACACTTGAGTTCCAATCCCAGTTCCCTGCATATTAGCCATGGGGCTTGGGCAAGTTGTTTTCCTTATTCTTAGTCTCCTCATTTGTAAATCGATAATCGCAATTCCCATAGCTCTCAAAGGCGCCCTTGGTAAGTTCACCCCTGCTCTGTCTCCCTGGGCTACAGGGAGTTGACATTTTGAACTTTCATCTGGATTCTTAGCAGTGTTGAATGTAATTGGGCACACTCTCCTTTTACTTTTTTTAATTAAAATGTTAATTATGAAGTACCTCATTCGTACACGAGTATCCAACCTGTGTGTTCATGTTCAGTAATGATAGTGAACGCCTGTGTAATGGCCACCCACTTCTGAAAATGGAAAACTGCCAGGGCCTTAGAGCTGTGAGCTCCTCCGGAACCCGTCCTTCTGCCGCCCTCTCCTGGCTGTACTGATAATCGCACTTTGCTCCTCTGAATGACTTCAGCACTTGGATGTGCTGTCCAGTGGAGTGTTATGCTGCCTGCTTTTGATCTTTCCACACGGGGTGCACTGGTTCTGTGTAATGCTTGGCGCTTCTGTAACCTAAGTCTTCTGATCAGCAGTATTTTTTTAATTTTTATTTGACAGGTAGAGTTATACACAGTGAGAGAGAGAGAGACAGAGAGAAAGGTCTTATTTCTGTTGGTTCACTCCCCACATGGCTGCTACAGCTGCCGCGCTGCGCTGATCTGAAGCCAGGAGCCAGGTGCTTCCTCCTGGTGTACCACGCGGGTGTAGGGCTCAAGCACTTGGGCCTTCCCAGGCCACAGCAGAAAGCTGGACTGGAAGAGGGGCAGCCGGGACTAGAACCCGGCACCCATATGGGATTCTGGTGCCGCAGGTGGAGGATTAGCCAAGTGAGCCACGGCGCCTGCCCCTGATCAGCAGTATTTTGAGATCCTCCCATGTTGTGTGCCTCTCTGGCTTGTTTAGTTCACTGGTGTTTAGTGTGTTTTTATTCCAGCTTCTCTAATGTTGATTGCTTGCACCTTTGTTATTGTGAACAGTGCTGCTGTACATATTCTTGACTTTTTCTTAGTCTACACTTGTGAGAGTTTCTCTGTGGTGTCTGGCTAGGCGCAGAATCACTGGGTCGCACAGAGTGCGTATACTTGATTTTGGTAATGGCAGACGCTACCTGCACGTGGTTTCCAGAGCACAGTGACTTCTGGTTGCTGCTTTGCTAGCTTCCCTCGCTCTGCCAGCTCTTGTGTTTTGAAGTCCCTTAATCTTTAGATGTCCTTCCTTTTTCACTTGTCACTCTGCCAAAGGATCGCGCTGATTTTTCTCCAGGCCGGCACTCTCGTTTGAACTCCACATCCGTATATCCAAGTACCCAGTAGCACCTTTACTTGAATGTCTTAAAGGCACCTTCAATCTGATTTGTCCAAGTGCAGATGAATGATTTTTTACCCTCCCCTCTCCCCATTCACTGGTCTTTTAGTTTTGTGTGTCTCAGTAGGTGGTGCCACCATTCCTCCTGTTTCCCAGGCCAGCAATTTTCAGACCATCCTTGATATCTTGGTTCCTTCCCCAAATTCTATTGCCAAATTTTTGTCCGATTTTATCTTTAAATCCGTCTTTTAGCTCCCAGCATTCTAGTGCAGGTGCCATCGTCTCCTCCTGGAATACTTCCTTAGCCTTCAGCTAGTCTGTCTGCATCCAGTCCTGCTGCTCCTCTCCTGCCCGTTCTTCGAGCTATAGTTAAAAGGATAAAAATAAAGCAAAAATATTCCTTTTTTTAAAAAAAGATTTATTTATTTGAAAGGCAGAGAGAGAGAGAGGTCTTCCATCCACTGGTTCACTCCCCAAATAGCCACAATGGCTGGCGCTGGGCCGATCTGAAGCCAGGAGTCAGGAGCTTCATCCAGGTCTCCAACGTGGGTACAGGGACCCAAGGACTTGGGCCATCCTCTGCTGCTTTTCCAGGCCACAGCAGAGAGCTGGATTGGAAGTGGAGCAGCCAGGACTTGAACCGGTGCCCATATGGGATGCCAGCACTGCAGGCAGCAGCTTTATCCACTACGCCACAGTGCCAGCCCCAGTAATTGGGTTCTTGCCACCCATGTGGGAGACCTAAGCTGAGTTCTCAGCTCCCAGCTTCTGCCTCCCTGGCTGTTGTGGGCATCCAGGGAGTGAACCAGTGGAGGGAGCTCTCTGTCTCTCTGCTTCTCAAAGAAAAACAAAACAGCATTCCTGCAACACAGAACATTTTCTTCCTCCAGCAACCTGGGTTTTCCATCTTGATAGCTGTCATTGACTGTATTTAAACATTGTGGTAAATATTTGATTCATTTCTATCTCCATTATTAGTAGATTACAAATCTATCAGGCATTAGGCTTCAATAAATAGTTGAATAAATGAGAGCATATGTGTAGTTACGTGCCAGTGTCTGGGGCTTGGTAAACCCATAGGATGACTCACGTCTTGCTTATTCTTTTTTTTTTTTTTTTATTTGACAGAGTTAGTGAAAGGGAGAGACAGAGAGAAAGGTCTTTCTTCCGTTGGTTCACCCCCAAAATGGCCACCACGGCCGGCGCTGAGCAGATCCGAAGCCTGCGCAGATCCGAAGCCAGGAGCCAGGTGCTTCTTCCTGGTCTCCCATGCGGGTGCAGGGGCCCAAGCACTTGGGCCATCCTCCACTGCCCTCCCGGGCCACAGCAGAGAGCTGGACTGGAAGAGGAGCAGCCGGGACTCGAACCAGTGTCCATATGGGATGCCGGTGCCGCAGGCGAAGGATTAACCAAGTGCGCCACGACGCCAGCCCCTCTGCTTATTATAGGGTTTGGCTCAGTGTGCTCTTTGCACTTCTTCCTGAAGGTCTTTGTGAGGACTTTTCCTGGCATTTTCCCTCGTTCTAGTCGCATGAGCACAGTGGTGGTCATTTCTTGTTCTCACTGCCCCTTCAGAAACTTGCTAAGAAGTATTTTACAAATAGTCTCATTTATTCTCACAATTCTGTGAGGCAGGTGCTCTGACTATCTCCCTTTTATGGTTTGCAAACCGAGGCACAGAGAGGTGAGGAAACTCGCCCAAAGCCGCCGCGTTCGTAAGGGCTTCTTAGCCGCGTGCTTCACCGCGAAGCCCACTCTCTTACCCACAGCGCTTCCGCAGCCCAGGGCCGCCTGGCGGTCCGTCCAGCGAGGACTCGGTCTAAGAGCTCTAAGAGCGGGCGTAGTTCCGGGATGGGAGGGAGCAGGGAGCGGTTCGTTGGCCGGGGAAGCTGAGGGAGCATGCGCAGTTAGGGCCGGGCCGGGCCTGGTGAGGAGTGGGGAGTGGACGGAGGCGTCCAGGCAGGGAGCCCGGGGAGGCCCTGGGCCACGGCGGGGCGAGAAGGCGGGCGTTGGAAGTGACTGGACGTGTGTTTCGTTGCCCTCCAGATTGTCCTGTGCCAGAATAACATCCGCAGCGAGGCCCACATGAGCAGGGTGGTCACCCACGAGCTCATCCACGCCTTCGACCACTGTCGCGCTCACGTCCACTGGTTCTCCAACGTCCGCCACTTGGCCTGCTCAGAGGTGAGTTGTAGCAGACGCTTGGTTTTGTCCCAAGATATTCTGCGTCCGAAGGTTTTATTTATAATTTTAGTTTACTGACCCTTGCTCCTTCTCTGACTGTCACAGTACATTTTTAGCCTTGAATTTCTGTTTTTAACAGCTGAATGTAATTTCTGAACTACAACTGGAGGGATTTTAAGTATCTTTTTAGAACTGCCTTAAATAGAACCTTTAACTCCTAGTAATCCTGATGAGCGAGTTAATTATAATAATAAAGTATTATTTTTTCTTGTGAAGTTAGTTAACAGTATAAAAAGTAATTCACACTTGCTGTGGGCCACATGCCAACCGCTGTTGTCTTTGTGGGGTTTCTCACTTAATCTTTACAGCATCACACTGTGGTCGATGCTTTTCTTTCTTTCCTTCTTTCTTTCCTTCCTTCTTTCTTTCTTTCTTTCTTTCCTTCCTTCCTTCCTTCCTTCCTTCCTTCCTTCCTTCCTTCCTTCCTTCCTTCCTTCCTTCCTTCCTTCCTTCCTTCCTTCTTTCTTTCTTTCTTTCTTTCTTTCCTTTTCTTCTTTAAATTTTTGACAGGCAGAGTGGACAGTGAGAGAGAGAGACAGAGAAAGGTCTTCCTTTGCCGTTGGCTCACCCCCCAATGGCCGCCGCAGCCAGCGCACTGTGCTGATCCGATGGCAGGGGCCAGGTGCTTTTCCTGGTCTCCCATGGAGTGCAGGGCCCAAGCACTTGGGCCATCCTCCACTGCACTCCCTGGCCATAGCAGAGAGCTGACCTGGAAGAGGGGCAACCGGGACAGAATCTGGCGCCCTGACTGGGACTAGAACCCGGTGTGCCGGTGCCGCAAGGCGGAGGATTAGCCTAGTGAGCCGCGGTGCCAGCCCAGATGCTTTTCTGATCTTAGCTTTATATGTGTGGAAAGTGAGGCAGTTGTTCAGGTCCCAAAGTTAGTAAGTGGCAGAGGCAGGCTGCCTTCGGTAGGCAGAAGTCCCTACGCACCCTGGAGTGAAATGTTTAGTTTGAAAAATACAGCATTAAAAGACTCTTTACTGTTAAGCACTTTGGATATTGCTTTCAGAAGTTTGCACATTCATGCTCCTAGAGACGTATAGATTAAAGAATGCTTGCATGCAATGAAATGTGCTCTGTAATGAGAAATATAAAAGCTAATATGAATCTCAAGCTTCTACTCTATAACGTGGATGATTTTTACTATTCCTTAAAATTTATAAGTGGACCCACTGCATCCAATTATAATTCATATTATTTGGAGAATAGATTAAAACCCGAGTTTTTAAGTAGGTCTGTCTCCTGGGTGTTATGAGAATTAATGTGTGTTGGCTACTTAAAATGGGCTAAGTACTTTGGACCTCTCAGAGGAGCGAGGCCATGTTACTGTGGAAGTAACAAGAAATGGGTCACTCCTTTTACAGTGAATTAGCAAAACGCCAGCCAGTGTCTGTGGAAACTCCGTGGGTAGTCCTGAGACTTTTTCATCTATTAAAATGTAAGAATGTTGAAGATACGTTGTGACTTCAGTCTGTTGTGGAAAAGTTCTTGATTCTCTGTGCTTTGAGTCACTGAATTTTTCACGGCCCTGGAGGAAGGTCCTGGACTTCACTCCGGTTTGAGGGATTGGTCAAGAGAGTGGCCGTGAGCTGGGCCTTGCTCTCAGCGTCTCAGAGGCTGGTGTGTCCAGTGTTAGGCTCACATTGAAACTCAGTTTGTAGTGCTGTGGAAGGAGGCTTTCTGGGTGATTGTCTGCCAGGGTACTTGGCATTGTCCAGCGTAGCTCATGGATAGCTACTCTTATTGTCAATTGAGTTTAAGAAAAGAAAAAAATTTTTGAAGACTTACGTGTACTTATATGGTCTCAGGAGTACATGCTAATTTTGTATTCTTTTCCACTTCTTAGTATTGGTTACGTGTTGTAAAGCTATGGAGCATGAGCGTTTATTTTCTTTCCATGTGTTTGTGATAGGTCCGAGCTGCTAACCTTAGTGGAGACTGTTCACTTGTCAATGAACTATTCAGGTTACGTTTCGGATTAAAACAACACCATCAGGTAAAAACCAACATGAAATCACCTACCCTCACAGGGAATAAGTGCATGAAGTACATTTCAGTATTTGAAATTTGGAAGAAGTACCTATGTGAAAGGAATACGCAGGTATCATGTAAGTCAAGTGGGTGGAGTCTAGCTCCACTCCGTAATTATGGGTGAGCCACGTGACTCGGGAGTGAGAGAGCTGTGAACTTGCTCCCGGAGAACGCCTGGCTGTGGCTCAGCCTCCCTGGACTTAGCATTGTGAAGCTACCACAGTGTTCCGGGCACCAGAAGTGCAGTCCGTTCAGACCAGAGACTGCGCTGTAGCACAGATTATGGCTTTGCGTCGCGCATCCTTGGAGACTGTGTGCTGCAAAGGAAAGCTCTGGATTGGCACAGACTTACTTGTGGTGCGCTGAACGGAGAGAGGCGTGGTAAATAACACAAAAACAGAAGCAGAATGAAAACCAGGAGGCGAGGTTATCTGGCTCGAGGGCCTTTAAGATGGGTGACAGATGGGTGTGGGGAGAGAAGGTGACCGTGTGGGTGAGCAGTTCTGCCCACAGCCACCCAGGAGCTCTGTGTCCACACTTAAGAGAAAGGCTGTGGGCAGAGCTTGCTGGGCCCGTCGGTGAAGTAGATGGACGTCAGGACAGCAGTTTCTTTTTTCTCTCCTCTCCTCTCCTCTCCTCTCCTCTCCTCTCCTCTCCTCTCCTCTCCTCTCCTCTCCTCTCCTCTCCTCTCCTCTCCTCTCCTCTCCTCTCATCTTCCCTCTCCTCCCCTCCCCTCCCCTCTCCTCTCTCTTTCTAAGATTTATTTATTTATTTGCAAACCAGAGAGAGAGAGAGAGAGAGAGAGAGAGATAGAGAGAGATCTTCTATCCTTTGGTTCACTCCCTAGATGGCCTGAATGGCCAGAGTTGGGCTGATCTGAAGCCAGGAGCTTCTTCCAGATCTCCCACATGGGTGCAGGTACCCAAGTACTTGGACCATCTTCTGCTTTCCCAGGCCATAGTACAGAGCTAGACTGGAAGTGGAACATTCGAGACTCGAACCGGCACCCATGCTGGCACTGCAGGTGGCAGCTTAACTCACTGCCACAGCGCCAGCCCCAGGGTAGCAGTTTCAACTGGATGCACAAAGGATGGGCTTGGAACAGCAGCGAGGCCCTTGGCTCTGTGCAGAAGATAGTAACTGAGCTTGGGGGTGCAGGGTGGATGGCCACACCAATCTCTGATGGGGAGTTGAGAGCTTGGAGAGTGGCAGCTGGCAGACAAGCTGGCCACTCCTTCGGGACCCTTAGGTTTTCAGCCTGTGTCAAGTCCACTCAGGGACACGCCACTGACTGTGCCCCTGTCTCTCTGCCCATCAGTCTCTGCTTCCCTAGGTAAGTTCTGTGTGCTGTGGCTTTCATTGGAGAGGATGGAAGTGGGGGACACATTAGCACACCCCTAGAGAAGGGGAAATGTGGTTAAAGCATGTGATCCAGGGCCACGGTCATTATTTTCGTCTATTTGAAAATCAGTGGGAGCGAGAGATTGATCCTCTGCTGGTTCACTCCCTAAACGCTATGGCAAGGCCAGGCCAGGCTGAAGCCAGGAGCCCAGGGTTTACCACGTGGGTGGCAGGGGCCAAGCACTTGAGCCATCATCTGCTGCCTCCTGGGATGCACTAGCTGGAAGCTGGATTGGAAGCAGAGGTGGAGCCTACACACTGCTGCGGGCTGCAGGTCTCCTAAGTGGCAGTTTAACCTGGGCCGTAATGCCCATTCCAGGCCTGTGGGCTTTGAAAGCAAAGTCTCTCTTCCTCTTACCGTTGGGTAGGAACAGCAGAAAACTAGTAGAACTAGTAACAGGATAGAACTTGAAACAGTTCGTGGAAAATGGAATCAGGAGATGAGACTGTTTTGGTGCAGACCGTCTGTGGAATCTGGCGTGCTTTTTTGTGATGTGCATTTCCATGAATGTCACGAAGTCTGCTTGAGGGGGAAGAGTCTTTTTTTTTTTTTATAATTTTTTTTTTATTTGACATGTAGAGTTATAGACAATGAGAGAGAGACAGAGAGAGAAAGGTCTTCCTTCCGTTGGTTCACTCCCCTAATGGCCACTACGGCTGGCACTGCACCCATCCAAAGCCAGGAGCCAGGTGCTTCTTCCTGGTCTCCCAAGCAGGTGCAGGGCCCAAGCACTTGGGCCATCGTCCACTGCCCTCCCAGGCCACAGCAGAGAGCTGGACTGGAAGAGGGGCAGCCGGGATTAGAACCCGGTGCCCATATGGGATGCCAGCGCCACAGGTGGAGGATTAGCCAAGTGAGCCACAGTGCCGGCCCCCGGGCTTGTTTTTAAAATCACAGTTGGGGCTAATTTAGGTTGAGAAGTACCAGTTATGTTCCAGCACTGGTGAGTGTCCCCAGCCTGGGCACTCTGAGCAGGCCGAAGTACACTTGGAAACACGCAGAGAGCACTGATTGTCACAGTGCATGGCCATGGGAGCCTGTGGTGGATACTGTTTTAGGACAACGTGAAATGCCATTCTTTGAGTTTTATTTTGGAGGCCTGATGAGAAACAGACAGATTGACAGCTCTGTAAGAATTGAGTGGGCAGGGCCTTATAATTTTTAAATCTTGTATTTTTTAAATTATTGAAAAAAACTAGTCTTTTACTCCATAGTATTGAGTAAAATAATATTTTTAGGAACAGAACTTTAATACTTATACAAACAACACTCAGAAGGAAATAGTTTTAATTTTTTTCTGCTAAGAAATTAAGTTACCTTTCAAGTGTGTGTGTGTGTGTGTGTGTGTATGTGTGTGTGTGTGTGTGTGTGTGAGAGAGAGAGAGAGAGAGAGAGAGAGAGAGAGATATTGTGAAAACACAGGGCAAGAGCGTGTCCCCTCCCGCAGGGAAAAGTTACCTAGCATTGTTCAACTGAAAAGTTTGGGAGAAGAGGTACAGAAGAGAAGTATATTTTAACCTTAATTAAATTGTGAGGAAATCAATCAAGATCTTGTGTGTGGACTGTCTAATGATTTTGCAAATTGGGAGTATGGTCCGAGAGCCACTGTCTAGAACTCTAGAGAACAGCAGTTGTTCGTGTTTTTGGAAACAGGACACGGAGGTCTCATGCCTGGGTGCTCTCAGATTGAGCTAACCATGTTCCATAATTTATGTTTCTTTGTTGTTTGTTTCCTTCTTTGGAGTGATAAATTAATAAAATAACATGAGAGGAAATTAATTTTAATTGTGGCTCAGACATTGTATATGTGCTATTTTATTATGACCGAGCTTTCAAATAAAACGAAAGTCACTCAGTCTTCCTTTTCCTTAGACTTGTGTGCGGGATAGAGCCATTCTGTCCATCCTGGCTGTTAGGAATATCAGCAAAGAAGTTGCTCAAAAAGCTGTTGCTGAAGTTTTTGAATCCTGTTTCAATGACCTTGAACCTTTTGGAAGAATCCCACACAACAAGACTTATGCAAGATACGCTCATAGAGACTTTCAAAACCGTGATCGGTATTACTCAAATATATGAAGACGGTGGTGTTTTATCTCACACAGCTTCGGCGAGCATGAAGAAAAAAATAATGGTTTGCAAGTGAAGAAGCATATAAAATGCCATCAAATACAGTTAAAACACAGAAGATGCTGATTTTAACATACCCAAAAAAGTAACTGTGGCAAAAAATGAAACTGCCTTAATTTCCAAGGCAAAAATTGTGTCTTTATAGTTTGCATTTGGTAAATAATATGAATAAATTACATTTTTGTATTTTCTGCAGTGTATGTTTTAAAAAGGTTTTTTATTTTTATTGTGGTTTATTTTTATTATGTATGATAGTTTTAAAATTTGATGGTGAACTTGCCGGCGCCGCGGCTCACTAGGCTAATCCTCCGCCTAGCGGCGCCGGCACACCGGGTTCTAGTCCCGGTCGGGGCACCGGATTCTGTCCCGGTTGCCCCTCTTCCAGGCCAGCTCTCTGCTGTGGCCAGGGAGTGCAGTGGAGGATGGCCCAGGTGCTTGGGCCCTGCACCCCATGGGAAACCAGGAAAAGCACCTGGCTCCTGGCTCCTGCCATCGGATCAGCGCGGTGTGCCGGCCGCGGCGGCCATTGGAGGGTGAACCAACGGCAAAAGAAGACCTTTCTCTCTGTCTCTCTCTCTCACTGTCCACTCTGCCTGTCAAAAAAATAAAAAAAAAAAAAAATTTGATGGTGAACTTACAAAGTGTGCCCATATGTGATGTTAAGAGGTAGCTGCTGTAAAGAAATAGATCTGCCGGGTGGTGGTGTGGTCGTTGTCTGTGATGCCAGCATCCCATCCAGGCACTGGTTCAAGTCCCAGCTGCTCCACTTCTGATCCAGGTTCCTGCTAATGTGCCTGGGAAAGCAGTGGAGGATGGCCCAGGTGGTTGGGCTCTGCACCCATGTGGAAGACCTGGAAGAAGCTCCTGGCTCCTTGTTTTGGCCTGGCTCAGCCCCAGCCGTTGTGGCCATCTGCGGAGTGAACCAGCAGGTAAAGATATCTTTCTTTGTCTCTCCCTCCTTCTCTCTGTAATTCTGCCTTTCAAATAAATACATCTTAAAAACAGAAAAATGTATAAATGTATCAATTTCATTGTGGGGCATTTTCTCCAATCATTTACAGAATAGTGCATCATTTCCTCATTAGATTTGCTTTTTTTTTGATTTGACACTCATGTTCTATCTCCTCTTCTTTCTTGGAACTGAGTATGAAGTGTTTTTGGAGTAAGGAGACTTTGGTCAACATTATCCCTCCCTCCCTCCCTTCCTTCCTTCTTTCACTTGTTTTCTGACAGATAAGTTTGCAAGTTTGTCAACCTCTAATTCAGAGTAAGTTTTTTTTTTTTTTTAAGGTTTATTTAATTATTTGAAAGGCAGAGAGAGAGAGAGGTCTTCCATCCACTGTGTCACTCCCCAGATGGCTGCAATGGCTGGAGCTGATCTAAAGCCAGGAGCTTCTTCCGGGGCTCCCACGGACTTGGACCATCTTTCTTGGGGCCCAAGGACTTGGACCATCTTTCACTGCTTTTCCAGGCTCTGGCAGAGAGCTGGATCAGAAGTGGAGCAGCCAGGACTCGAACCGGTGACCATATGGGATGCTGGCACTGTGGGCGGCGGCTTTACCTGCTATGCCACAGCACTGGTCCCTGTTATCTCTTTATATCCCTCCTCTGTATCATCATATCCCATTTTTTTTTTAAAGATTTATTTATTTATTTGAAAGAGTTACACTGAGAGAGAAGAAGAGGCAGAGAAAGAGAGAGGTCTTCCATCCGCTGGTTCACTCCCCAGATGGCTGCAATGGCCAGAGCTGCACTGATCTGAAGTCAGGAGCTTCTTCCTGGTCTCCCATGTGGGTGCAGGGGCCCAAAGACCTGGACTATCTAATATTGCTTTCCCAGGCCATAGCAGAGAACTGGATTGGAAGAGGAACAGCTGGGACTAGAACGTGCACCCATATGGGTTGCCGGCGCTTCAGGCCAGGGCTTTAACCCGCTGTGTCACAGCGCTGGCCCCATCATCTCATCCCATTCTGAGGCCTTCATACCCTTTCTCCTTGAAGTCTTGTTTTCAATCCCCTTGACTTGCTAGCTCCTGCTTGTATTCCAGGTCTCTATTCAGATGTCACTTTCCCTGGACTTTTTATCTTGAATCTCCATCCTGGGTGCCGTGGTATCGATCCCCAAGTCGCCCCTCGCTTCTTCTTTGGTGCAGCTGTTCCCCATGGTAACTCCTGTATTGCTAGGTTGACCATCACTACCTAGTAGACAGTGAGTGCCTAATAAACGTGCACTGAATGAGTTCAGTGTCTCCTCCCTCAGGGGTTGGCAGAATGAGGGGAAGCTCTGAGTCCGGGCACCTTGAGACTGATGAGGCTCTCAGGGTCCCCTGCTGCTGGGTGGCCGTGTTAGTGGCTGGTCTGGCTTTACCCGGCAGATCCAGATTTGGAGTGTGCAAGGAGCTTTGACCTTTGCTCTGGAACTCCGAAGCTGGCTTCGGAGGGCTTCTTGGCTCAGCAAGGTTCTTGCCCCTCTTGCTTTACTGCCTTGGATGGGAGGAAGCATAAATGTCATCAATGCTCATGGAAGCTGCCACTTGTCACTGAGAGTGTCACGTGATTTTTTTCTTTTAGTTTAGCATAGGTTCCTGTTGAATGAGCAAATTGTCCTTATCCCAAATGGTCTATTTGGTGATTTCTGTTGAACCAAATTCTACTCTTGTGGACTCTAATACTTAGCATTGCAAAAGTCAGAGGTAGAAATCAACAGGGAAGAGGAAGAAGAAAGAAAATGAGAGAAAAATGCAGGTTGTTAACAGAAGGCTTGGCTCTGCTTCTCGAATATTTTCAATTCCGAAAGAAGTTAAAAAATTCAAGAGCAACATTATCATCAACATAAATTATCATTTATTAATTGTGCACTGGTAGTGGTCTGAAGTGGGTTTAATGAACAGATAACTCAGCTTGGTAATATCTTGGCTGGATATCTATCCCCTTGGGCAGGAGAAGCTGCTGTTCAGTTTAATAGCCTGGTCTGCTGCTGCAGGCTGAGGATCCTCTTGCACTCTTGCTCTGCCTTGCCTTCTCCCAAGGGCAGACACGAAGGACACAGTGGTTTCCTACTTGCTTAGCGCTGACTCTTCTGCCTAGCCGAGGCTATGTGGGTTAGAACAATTCTCATATGACTTTAGTTAAATAAAAAGTTTGCGTTCAGAAGTCAGTGCATATTAATCTTCAACTGATTTTCACCAGTTAAACCTTTATTAAAATTTCAAACATTTACAAAGTAAACGACTCATATTTGGCAATGATCAGCATTTTGCTATTTTGTTTAATCTATACTTTAACCCACTCTTCACTCCTGCTCACTTATTTTTTAAGGAAAATTTCAGAGATTGATGCCCAATCTAACTATAACTTTGACAAGGGATACAGTTGGGATACCCACATCATAACGAAGACAGAGAACACTTCCATCAGCCCAGGAAGTCCCTCCCTCTGTTTTCCAAGTGGTTTTCCTCTTCCCCTCCAGATGTAGGCAAGCATGTATTGATTTTATTCCAGCCTCTTGCCTTGCACAAAGACAAGCATCTTAAGTGCAGACAGCGATAAAGTGCATGAAGTGGTAGCAAAATTATTTGAAAGGTGAGAAAGTGAATACACGTGTGTCCATGAGCGTGAGGACATGCCACACGTAGGAAAACATCTGTCATGAGTGGACAATGGGTCAGAGGATTGCCCAAAAGGAGGAGGGACGGGGAAGGGGAAGGGGGCACCTGGGCAGGACCTCCAGCTGTGGTCTGCGTGAGAGAGAGAGCGAGCCTCTCCTGGGTGTCGGCCACTTTTATGAGGTGGGGGGTGGTGCCTGTATAGGCGTGAAGCCACCTGGGAATTTTGTGATACCTCCACAAGTTCCACGTGGAGTTTAATTTCCATATTTTCGTGGCACTCCCCCTTTAGGTCCTGGATGAAGCAGGTAAATCCTGGGAAACGGGGTGTTTTGATTGACAAGTGGGAGAGCAGAATTCCATTTGGGGCACTGCAGTGTCTTCCAGGTCACGCAAACCTGTTCAGCTGCCTGCCTGCTCACCCCATATCCCTAGCTTCCTATTATTTTATTTCACCATAGTTCAGAATATCATATACATGGAATCATCAAGTATGAGTCTTTTTATTTATTTATTTTTAAATATTTATTTATTTATTTGTAAGGCAGAGTTACCGAGGCAGAGGCAGGAGCAGAGATAGATAGATAGAGAGATATTGGTCTTTCAGACGTGATACACTCCCCAAGCACTTGGGCCATCTTCTACTGCTTTCCCAGGCCATGGCAGAGATCTGGATCAGAAGTAGAGCAACCAGGACTTGAACCAGCACCCATATGGGATGCTGGCACTTTAGGTGGGAGCTTTATCCACTGTGCCACAGAGCCGACTCCACAGTTGAGTTTTTTATATTGACTTTATATTATGATACCTTGCTAAATTCACTTATTTGTTTAGGAGTTTTTTTTTTTTTCTTAAATTGTTGTTAGGATTATCTATGTAAAAATTGTATTAAATGTGAATAGGAACAGTTTCACTACTTTTTTCCCTGCCTCCTTTATTGCAGTGGTTAGAAATTCTAGGACAATTTTTTAAAAAAAGATTTATTTATTTACTTGAAAGAGTTACACAGAGAGAGAAGGAGAGGCAGAGAGAGAGAGAGGTCTTCCATCCCAGAAGGCTGCAACGGCTGGAGCTGCATTGATCTGAAGTCAGGAGCCAGAAGCTTCTTCCAGGTCTCCCATGTGGATGCAGGGGCCCAAGGGCCTGGACCATCTTCCACTGCTTTCCTAGGCCATAGCAGAGAGCTGGATTGGAAGTGGAGCAGCTGGGTCTCGAACCGGCGCCCATATGGGAATGCCCGCACTGCAGGCAGTGGCTTTACCCGCTATGCCACAACGCCGGCCCCTAGGACAATTTTGATTAGAAGTGAAGAGAGTGACCATCGTTGCCTTGCACCATATTTTTGATGGTGTATTAGTTGGAGTTCTCTGGAGAAATAGAACCAATTGTGTGTGTGTGTGTATGTGTGTTTAGAGAAATTGATCGCAAAGGATGGCTCCTGTGATTGTAGGGCCTGACATGTCTGAAACGTACAAGGTTGGCTGAAATCCCAGAGACCCAGGGCAGAGCTGACGTTGCAATTGTGTAGAAAGGTGGTTAGGAGAGGGCATTTTCTCTTTTGGGGGGAGCCTCGGTCTCTTCCTCTTCAATCTTG